GGCAATGGAAACTTTCAGATTGGCTTCAGAAATTAAGATCAACTGGAAAAAGACCATAGGCTGGTGGATGTCAGACGAACAAATCCCCAACATGCAAGGACCAGAGGCGGCTATGTCCTGGGACACGCCGGATACACCTACCCGTTACTTGGGCATCCTCATGTCACGGGAAGGACTGGTACCCCAGATGACCCATAACATGCTAGCTAAACAACTAAACAAATTGGGAAGATGGGGGAACACTTTCACTTCACTGATAGGTCGAGCATTGGTTTTGAACACATCTGTCTTCTCCATGATGTGGTACATTGCATCGGTCTGGACAATCCCGGACGAATCACTRAAGGAACTTAACCGAGTGGCCAGGACGTATCTATGGACGGGCAACCCCRACAAGGCAGGATGTATCCCAAAGATATCCTGGCAGTAYATCACAAGGAGACCAATCCAGGGGGGKCTAGGAATAATTGATCCGAAGTGCGAAACGAGAGCTCTCCAAGTCAAATGGGTAGTTCGATTATTGACTAAACCAGARACGGCATGGAACAAACTGGCCMTGGATAGCATAAGGGCCTTGGCTCCAGTGCCATCTCCAAAGGATATGACAGGGCTTTTCTGGGTGATGAACAAGGAATGGTCCTTGAAAAGGGCGAGAAGAAGAACCAGGAGGGAAGTASAAAGGGGCATAGACAACCGTCRAAYGYCGTACTGGGCTTCTCTAATCCAGATCTGGAGGGAAATAATGCCTAAGAAAGTCAACAGACCAAAATCTAAGGACGAGATACTGAGACAGCCTCTCTTCGGCAATGAATGGCTAAAAGATGAAAACGATGAACCCCTGTTCTTAGAAGGAATGGAGTTTGGACAATCGGCCACTTGTGGAACGAAGAAAAGAAGGACTGGGTTTCTGAACAGGAGTTAAGTGAACGCTTGAAGGGATACCATAGAAGAGGTCCTAACCTGCAACACATCATCAATCTTATTCCTCAAGAGTGGAAAGACATACTAAAACCAGGTGAACCATGGATAAGCGGTGAATGGGGGGTCAAAGTGCAGGAAACCTCCCCCTTCAGGGCTTTCCAATTCTCTCACCGTCTCCCAGGATCAACCACTCAAGCGGTGTTCACTTCTTTCCCAATTGACTACTCCATGAAGGGGAGGACAATGATTAAGAATGGTAACGTGGAAACAACAATCATGGACTACTTCCTGCTCAGAAAAGTAAGGGTCTTAGGTACATGGCCCAAGGCCATCTTTAGAATCGATACGGCCATACACAACCTGGAGTTTGACCCAAGGGAATGGGCATGGAAACCAGAAAGGGGGGCAAGCACAAAGAAACTCACCCTCATCCAGGATTACACGGTCAAATTTGGGTACGAACTACTGCTAAAACAAAAGACCCAGAACCGGTGATCAAGGCCAGGTGGCAAAAACTAATAGGGCAAGAAGCAGACAAGATCACACAGATTCCATGGAAGAATTATAAGACAATTAGACCCATCAAAATCAGGAGTCTCCAATGGCTGATTACATACGCAGCACTACTAGTCAACCAATGGCTTCACGTGAGGCGGAAAGGTTCAGACCCCGATAGTTCTGATCACTGCAAAGTATGTACGGAAGGGGCTGTAGAGGATATAGTTCACTGTTTAGTGCACTGTAGGRAGGCGAYAGAATTTYGGGCACGAGCCTCGACCCTATGGAACTCCCTCTTCCCGACCCCCTTTCCCGAACACCCCATCCAACTTCTTCTTCTGACTAACATCCCTGCACATCTCCGGAAAGCGGAAAAGATTTGGTATGGACTCATCAGGAAGGTGACACTGTGGATCATATGGAAAGAAAGATGGAGCAGAACGATTGAAGGAGTGGCCAACGCACGTGAAAGGTGTTGGCTGGAGACAAAGGAAATGATACAGGCGGAAATCTTATGCCGATGGCGGAAAATCAAGCTATCATGGTCAGAAGACGAGGAACAGCGGAAGAAGGCAAGACTGACTTTCAACAGGACATGGCTGATAGGAGGAAAAGTTGCTGATCTGCGAGACAACCGTATCCACTGGAAGGACTGGCACAACTCCAACTCTCGGAACAGGCCAGGACAAGGACCAACGGGGCAACGGCAAGGCCTTTTCGGACCAGAAGTTTGAAGAGACAATAGTATTGAGCAAGCCTAGGCAGATGACAAGGAACAGCGTAAGAACGGGAGACAGAGACTACACAGGAACGGGGAAGGGATGAAACAGGACGACTGAGAGCGAGGAGTGCTGTTCCTACGGGAAGCATGTCTCATTACCAGAAAGGAGAGCCCACCAGAAGGCAAAGGCGGTGGTACCAATTACATCCTGAAACACGACAGGACAAGCACATTTCGGATTCATGGGCATAGCTCAAATCTCAGAAAGAGGCTATCGGAAACAGATAACAAGGGACGGGCAAACCTCTACAGGACCTCGACAGGCAAAAATCTCACAGCTTCGTTTGGCAGCGCTAAGTGGAAAAGCCAACACTACAAGTCCAGAACAAGCGGATATTAGGCGAGCCTAAAAGGTTAAAACGGTTCACAGTTTTGAGGGGATAGAGCGACGTTTTTTTCTCAGGAGGCCTTATAGAGGAAAAGTAGCCAAAATAGGAAGAGGAAGTCAGGCCTCTGAAGTGAAAGCCAAGGGTCCAGGGTCTACCACAAAGGGTCAGAGAGATGCAAGGGGGCGAAACAGACTGGCAAGGGTAGCGGAGGAGCTCTTTCTAGGAATAACAGTGTTATCTGGCAGATCGGAACCTTAGGTCTGAGAGGAAAGAGAGGGACAAGGCAAGCTGACAGTCAATCCTCCACCAAAGTGGAGCAATCAATGCTGTTCAGGGATCCTTCGGCCGACGGAAGGAAGCGTGTGTGAGTTTTATCTTGATGTAATGATCATTTTGACTTGCCGGTGGAATAGGAACCGGACTGACGCTCCCCAGAATAGAAGGAGCCAGGACCATAAGGCCCTGCTTTGTCAAAAAAAAAAAAAAAAAA